GGGACTATGTGAAGAGACCTACCATACGTTTGATAGGTGTACCCAAAGGGGACGAAGAGAACGAATTCTAGCTGGAAAATTCTACAGAATATTATCCAGGAAAATTTCCCCAATGTAGCAAGGCAGGCCAACACTCAAATCCAGGAAACACGAGACCACCATTAAGATACTCCACAAGAAGAGCAACCCCAAGGCACATAATCATCAGATTCACCAGGGTTGAAATGAAGGAGAAAATACTAAGGACAGCTAGAGAGAAAGGTCGGGTCACCCACAAAGGAACGCCCATCAGACTCACAGCAGATATGTCGGCAGAAACTCTACAAGCCAGAAGAGAGTGGGGGCCAATATTCAACATCCTTAAAGAAAAGAACTTTCAAACCAGAATTTCATATCCAGGCAAACTGAGCTTCATAAGTGAAGGAAAAATAAAATCCTTTGAGTACAAACAATACTCAGAAATTTTGTCAACACCAGGCCTGCTTTACAAGAGCTCTTGAAAGAGGCACTACACATAGAAAGGAACAACCAGTACCAGCCATTCCAAAAACACACTAAATGCTAAAGAGCATCAATAAAATGAATAATCTGCATCAACTAACGAGCAAAAGAGCCAGCTAGCATCAAAATGGCAGTATCAAATTCACACATAACAATATCAACCATAAATGTAAATGGGCTAAATGCACCAATCAAAAGACACAGACTGGCAAATTGGATAAAAAATCAAAACCCATCAGTGTGCTGTATCCAGGACACCCATCTCACATGCAAGGATACACAAAGGCTCAAAATAAAGGGATGGAGGAAGATTTACCAAGAAAATGGAGAGAGAGAAAAAAAAGCAGGAGTCGCAATTCTCGTCTCTGATAAAATAGACTTTAAAGCAACAAAGATCAAAAGAGACAAAGAAGGTCATTACATAATGGTAAAAGGATCGATACAACAAGAAGAGCTAATGATCCTAAATATATATGGACCCAATACAGAAGCACCCAGATATATAAGGCAAGTTCTTAATGACTTATGAAGAGACTTAGACTCCTACACAATAATAGTGGGAGACTTTAACACTCCACTGTCAATATTAGACAGATCAACCAGACAGAAATCAAGAAGGATATCTAGGGCTTCAAATCAGACCTGGAACAAGCAAACCTGATAGACATTTACAGAACTCTCCACCCCAAATCCACAGAATATACATTCTTCTCAGCACCACATCACACCTACTCTAAAATTAATCACATAATTCGAAGTAAAGCACTCCTCAGCAAATGCAAAACAATGGAAATCATAACAAACAGTCTCTCAGACCATAGTGCAATCAAATTAGAACTCAGAATTCAGAAACTAACCCAGAATAGCACAGCTTCATGGAAACTGAACATCTGGCTCTTGAATGTTGACTGGATAAACAATGAAATGAAGGCAGAAATAAAAAAGTTCTTCGAAACCAACAAGAACGAAGACACAACATACCAGAATCTCTGGAACACATTTAAAGCAGTCTCCGGAAGAAAATATATAGCAATAAGTGCCCATATGAGAAGAGTGGAGAGATCCAAAATTGACAAACTATAGTCAAAATTGAAAGAGCTAGAGGAGCAAGATCAAAAAAACTCAAAACCTAGTAGAAGACAAGAAATAACTAAGATCAGAGCAGAACTGAAGGAGATAGAGACATGAAAAACCCTTCAAAAAATTAATAAATCCAAGAGCTGGTTTTTTTAAAAGATCAACAAAACAGACAGACCAATAAAAAAGAAAAGAGAGAACAACCAAATAGATGCAACAAAAAACAATAAAGGGAAAATCATCACAGACTCCACAGAAATTCAAACCATCATCAGAGAATACTATAAGCAACTCTATGCACATAAACTAGTAAACCTGGAAGAAATGGATAAATTCCTGGAGACCTGTGTCCACCCAAGCCTAAACCAGGAGGAAGCTGAAACTACGAATAGACCAATAACAAGGTCTGAAGTTGAGGCAGCAAATCATTTTATGAGACCAACATCATCTTGTTACCAAAACCCGGCAGAGACCTAACAAGAAAAGAAAACTTCAGGCCAATATCCATGATGAACATAGATGCAAAAATCTTCAATAAAATACTGGCAAGCTGATTGCAACAGCACATCAAAAAACTTATCCATCATGATCAAGTAGGATTCATCCCTGGGATGCAAGGCTGGTTCAACATACGCAAGTCTATAAACGTAATTCACCACATAAACAGAACCAAAAACAAAAACCACATGATTATCTCAATTGATGCAGAGAAGGCATTTGACAAAATACAACAGCCCTTTATGCTAAAAACCCTCAATAAACTTGGTATTGACAGAATGTATCTCAAAGTAATAAAAGCTATTTATGACAAACCAACAGCCAATATCATACTGAATGGGCAAAAACTGGAAGCATTCCCTCTGAAATCCGGCACTAGACAAGGATGCCCTCTTTCACCACTCCTATTCAATATAGTACTGGAAGTTCTAGCCAGAGCAATCAGGCAAGAAAAAGAAATAAAGGGTATTCAAATAGGAAAGGTGGAAGCCAAATTGTCACTATTTGCAGACAACATGATAGTATACCTAGAAGACCCATCACTTCAGCCCAAAAACTCCTGAAACTGATAAGCAATTTCAGCAAAGTCTCAGGATATAAAATCAATGTGCAAAAATCACAAGAATTCCTATACACCAATAGCAGACTTAAAGAAAGCCAAATCAAGAACGAACTGCCATTCACAATTGCTACAAAAAGAATAAAATACCTAGGAATACAACTCACAAGGAACGTAAGGGACCTCTCCAAGGAAAACTACAAACCATTGCTCAATGAAACAAGAGAAAACACAAACAGATGGAGAAACATTCCATGTTCATGGTTAGAAAGAATTAATATTGTAAAAATGGCTATACTGCCCAAAGTAATTTACAGAATCAATGCTATCCCCATCAAGCTACCATTGACTTTCTTCACAGAACTGGAAAAAACCACCATGAACTTCATATGGAATTAAAAGAGAGCCCACATAGCCAAGTCAATTCTAAGGAAAAAGAACACAGCGGGAGGCATCACACTACTGGACTTCAAACTATACTACAAGGCTACAGTAATCAAAACAGCATGGTACTTGTACCAAAATAGAGATATATGCCAATGGAACAAAACAGAGGCTTCGGAGGCAACACAACATACCTACAACCATACAATCTTTGATAAACCTGACAAAAACAAGCAATGGGGAAAGAATTCCCTGTTTAATGAATGGTGTTGAGAAAACTGGCTAGCCATGTGCAGAAAGCAGAAACTGGACCCCTTCCTGACACCTTACACTTAAATTAACTCCAGATGGATTAAAGACTTAAACATAAGACCTGGCACCATAACAACCCCAGAAGAAAATCTTGGCAAAACCATTCAGGACATAGGAGTAGGCAAGGACTTCATGACCAAAACACCAAAAGCATTGGCAACAAAAGCCAAAATAGACAAATGGAACCTAATGAAACTCCACAGCTTCTGCACGGCAAAAGAAACAGTCACTAGAGTGAATCGGCAACCAACCGAATGGGAGAAAATTTTTGCCATCTACCCAACTGACAAAGGGCTGATATCCAGAATTTACAAAGAACTAAAACAGATTTACAGGAAAAAAACAAACACACCCATTCAAAAATGGGCAAAGGATATGAACAGATACTTTACAAAAGAAGACATACATGAGGCCAACAAACATATGAAAAAATGCTCATCATCACTGGTCATTCGAGAGATGCAAATCTAAACCACATTGAGATACCATCTCACACCAGTTAGAATGGTGATCATTAAAAAATCTGGAGAAAACACATGCTGGAGAGGATGTAGAGAAATAGGAACACTTTTACACTGTTGGTGGGAGTGTAAATTAGTTCAACCATTGTGGAAGACAGTGAGGTGATTCCTCAAGGCCTTAGAAATAGAAATTCCATTTGACCCAGCAATCCCATTACTGGGTATATATCCAAAGGACTATAAATCGTTCTACTATAAGGACACATGCACATGAATGTTCATTGCAGCACTGTTTACACTAGCAAAGACCTGGAACCAACCCAAATGTTCATCGACGATAGACTGGATTGGGAAAATGTGGCACATATACACCATGGAATATTATGCAGCAATCGAAAATGATGAGTTCATGTTGTTTGTAGGGACATGGATGAGTCTGGAGAACATCATTCTCAGCAAACTGACACAAGAACAAAAATGAAATAGCGCATATTCTCACTCATAGGTAGGTGATGAAAAATGAGAACACATTGACACAGTGAAGGGAGTACCAAACACTGGGGTCTACTGGGGGGAGGAGGGGAGGGACAGTGGGTGGGGGAGCTGGGGAGGTATAGCCTGGGGAGAAATGCCAAATGTAGGTGAAGGGGAGGAAGGCAGCAAAACACACTTCCATGTGTGTACTTATGCAAATGTCTTGCATGTTCTGCACATGTACCCCAAAACCTAGAATGCAATAAAAAATAAATAAATAAATAAAAATAAGAAGAAAATGGAGCAGTCTAAGAAAGCAATGATTCCTGATGCAAAAAATAAACCTGTAGACAGATTAGAGCATACAAATCAAATGTGGTGGTTGTATTAATGAATTCACCATACATTATAAAGAAAAACAAAACAACAAAACTACTTCAGCAAATACTTCCCTCAGTACAAAAAGTAATCATTAAATGAGATAAAACTTTATTTTATTGTACATTAGGTTCTGGGGTACATGTGCAGATCATGCAGGATTGTTGCATAGGTACATACATGGCAAGGTGGTTTGCTGCCTTCATCCCCCCATCACCTATATTTGGTATTTCTTTTCTGATTATCCCTCCCCACCCTCCCCATTCCCAGTGTCCCTCCCCTAGCACCCCCCTACTGACCACAATGTGTGATGCTCCCCTCCCTGTGTCCACATTTTCTAATTGTTCAATACCCACCTAGGAGTGATAACATACGATGTTTGGTTTTCTGTTCTTGTGTCAGTTTGCTGAGAATGATGGTTCCCAGATTCATCCATGTTCCTATGAAGGACACGAACTCATTGTTTTTTTCTGGCTGCATAGTATTCCATGGTGTATATATGCCACATTTTCTTTATCCAGTCTATCAATGATGGACATTGGAGTTTGTTCCAGGTCTTTGCTATTGTAAACAGTGACTCAATGAACATACGTGTGCATGTGTCTTTATAATAGGACAATTTATAATTCTTTGGGTATATACCCAGTAATGAGATTGCTGGGTTAAATGATATTTCCATCAAGACCTAGTTTATTGAGGGCTTTTAGCATAAAGGGCTCTTAAATATTATTGCAGGCCTTCTCTACATCTATTGAGATAATCATGTGGTTTTTGTGTTTGGTTGTTTATGTGATGGATTACGTTTATAGACATGTGTATGTTGAACCAGGCTTGCATCGCTAGGATGAAGCCTACTTGATCATGATGAACAAGCTTTTTGATTTGCTGGTGCATTCTGTTTGCTGGTTTTTTATTGATGATTTTTGTGTCAGTGTTCATCATGGATATTGGTCTGAAGTTTTCTTTTTTTGTTGTGTCTCTGCCCTGTTTTGGTATTAGGATGATGTTGGTTTTATAAAATGAGTAGGGGGGATTCCCTCTTTTTGTATTGTTTGGAATAGTTTCAGAAAGAATGGTACCAGCTCTTCTTTTTAGGTCAGGTAGAATTTGGCTGTAAACCCATTTGGACCTGGGATTTTTTAAAAAGAAAACTTGTGGTGTGAGGTTATACACAGGTCTCACATAATTCTTAGTGGAAGTGTTATTCAGGAAAAGGCCAGAAGCCCATATAAGTATCCTATAAAGTAATAGGTAGCACAGGCACAATATGTTTTAGAAATGTAAAGAATTGGAGGCTGCTTGTAAAGTCGAGTAGGTCATGTGAGTGAACAAAATGTCTTTCTACATGAATCACTAGAGCACTTAATCTATGATCCGTCAACATCATTCAGAGTTAGTATTTTGATTTTGCATATTCAGGTAAATTCATGGTTAATGATTTCTCAGGAAAGATGTAGCATGGAGTGTATTTTACTAACATTTATCGTAATAGCATTTATAAGTGACTTTAGCCCTTTTATTTATAGAATCAGGCATCTGAGGAAGTTCCTTACATTTTTCAGGTTCATGTTGCAGCTTTTCTTGAGGGCTTCATAAGTGATGATGATATTTTTAGACTTTTCGTTTACTGAGAATGGTGGGATATGTTTTGTGGAAAAAGGTGAGTTTTATAGCAAACTTTTCTTAAAATTTAAAAATAATTTTTGAATAGAACTGGTCAGTAAGATTGGAATATTTGCAGCTATAATAAACATTATATATTTCAAATTCTAGATTTTATATGGAGAGTAAAAAGTGCATTTCAAGATTCTGTTTCTATGACTAAGTTCTTAAACAATTTCAAAGACATACAATAACATAATCAAAATGAAGTAATTCCTTTCAATTACAACCAGTTTTATGAAAGATCATGAGAAAAAAATGCTACCTCAGTCCCAACATCTAGAATGCATGAACATCTAGAGTATCTCTAAATAATAGCTTGTAATCAACATCAGTTGTATAACATATATACCACAGATGCCAACTGGTGTCCACTTACGTCTTAAGATTGTTACCTATGTTACTCTCTCATTTCATGTCCTATAGAAGAGTAACACCTTTCCCAAAACTCAGGCCTATATGACCAGCTACTTCCACTGAATTAATTCAGTTTAAGATTACCTGAATATCTTGAGTGTGCTGTCCATGTCTACATTTCATTAGTTCAGGTGGGTAATTCAGAATCATTCTTTAATTTCTATAAAATCAAAGCAAAACCACTCATTAAAATCATGGAGGTGTACTGTCAGCTTTGCTGAAGTCAGTGATGCAATCAGGAAGGCAAAAAGTTATGTTACAACAATGTACATCTCTTCAAGTTGAAAATTAGACACTACTATTAATTCAAATGCTTCAATCACCTATTTCCTAGAAACCACCCTATTAAATTTGTTTTCTCAACCTCAGTTTTCTTTCATTTTTAATGCATAAAGTTTAGATATCTCTCTTCTTGGGTTGGCTCCTATTAATCTATATGTTCAGGATATTACTTTCCAAATAGATGAGCAATAAATTTTTCTAAAGACAGACAACCCCCTCTCACAAAATCATTCAAATTATCAATAGGTAATAAAAAACTTCACCAAAAACTGAAAAAATCAGTAACACTATTAACAAAACCTTGAGTGTAGTTATTAATGGAAAGGACAGTAGTGATCAATAGCGTTTAACAGTAGTCAAATAGTAGTGGTCAATGTTGTATAACAGTCAATAGTCTTCAAACATTAACTTAAAACAATAATTGTCATTTTATTATCTCTCAAGTTTTTCATGGGGAAGAAATTCACATAGAGTTCAGCCAGGTAGTTCTAAATTGGGCTATTATTTCAGACAGAAATTCGAACTACAACAGGTGAGGACTGGCCATACATTTCTCTCTCTTCAGGTAGTCTCAGAGTTTTCTCATGTGTCAACTGATGTTTGCTCATAATATGGAAGCCCTGTGAGGTTGGACTTCTTACATAGTAACTCAAGGTTTCATTGTGAATACTCTAGGCAACAAGGCAGAAATAGCACCACCTTTTATGACTAGCCTCAGAAGTCAGAGGTCACTTTTGTTTAGTTACAAGTCTACCCAGGTTTAAGATGAAAGAACATAAACTCGCTTCTCAAAGTAGCAATATAACTGAAATATAGGATGGGAGGTAATGTTGTGGTCGTTTTTGGAAAATAGAATCTACCACATATGTTTAGTTATTTATTCTATATTTCCCCCCGATCTTCTTAATGTACAGCATCAAAAGTAGTACTTACATAAATGTATTATTCTTTCATTTATTGCTATTTTAGGTAGACTGTTTAGTCACTATATTTAGAAGTTTGTTAAACAAACAGAAATGCATTATTTTACAAAGTCAGTACCTTATTAACTATCTTCCCAGTGAGATTGGTACAGATACTGAAGGTTTTCTTGAAAGCATGGCAATGCTACTAGGGGTGTAGAGTCTGTGGGTGGATCTACTAAAAGAGGATGACAGCTTGAGTTATCTTGTGAGCTCTTTCTCCAAAATAGCCCTGAGAAAGACATTTAAAATTCGTGGGTCTGTACAGCAATGAAGAGGCTTAAAAAAAAAAAAGAAAGAAAAGAGAATTCCTGAGTCTTTTATTTTGATCCTCAATAAAGTCTTTTCTAACTTCAATTAAAGACCTGAATTCAATTCCAAGTGTGCTACTCTCAACCGAACAACCTATTCAATAAAAAAACCAAATGTCAACATCATTGTATCTAGAATAATTATATCTAGACTGACTACAAAACTGAATGCAAATTAACATCCGTGTTACTAAGAAAGTCAATAATTATCTGTTTCTATTATACTGATGACATAATTAATCCAGGCTGATCCTGCTTGCCCATGTTTTATGTCTGAAAGATGCCTGCAGGGCACTCTAGAAATTTACTTCTGTGTCTGGTTCACACAAGATATACCAAACTAGACTGCCATAGGTCCACCCTGTTGTATTTTTGGCACACCCAATGTATGTTCTCTCTTAATCTGTCTATTCCCTGTCATCCTGAAATTAGATACACATATGTTTATAGAACCCATTGTTAACCTATTTGGAAGATGACATGTGAACATAAACCTGCCTTAATTAGTATAAGCACTGTTCATTTTTCAAAAATCAAGTTATACTATTTTGTAAAGTAAAAACATGCACAAATGCCAAAAAGGTAATGGTTTGTATGCATTAAACAATTTTTGTGTACAGCAGCCTTCTTAAAGCATGAAAAGAAAAATCCTTTTTTGGCATATGATTGAACAATTGCATACGGTTTTCTTTCCTTTTAAGAGCATTTTTTTAGATTCAATCTGTCATGCAAACATATCATTCTAAGAGTAGAGCTGTCTATAATATCATAACACTTTCTTGAAATTAAAATTCAGAAGGTTGGTTCAATACAATTATGAAATTCTTGATTGTACTGACGATTTTCTGGGGGGAAAAGCAGTTATCAACATTACCCCAAGAAAAAACAAATAACTTGAATAGACCATTAACCATAGAGAAGAATGAATATAAAATCAAGTAATTATTTTCACAAAGCTTTCAAAGACAGAAAGTTTCACCAGTGACTGTTTTAGAACTGTGAAACATTTGTTTTGCTGTAAAATTCTCAAGCTTTCTTTTTTGTTTTGTTGTTTTGTTTTGTTTTTTAGAGACAAAGTCTCTCTCTGTCACCCAGTTTGGAGCACAACCTCAGTTCACTGCAACTTCTGCCTCCCAGGTTCAAGCAATTCTTCTGCCTCAGCCTCCTGAGCAGATGGGATTACAGTCCACCATGCCAGGCTAATTTTTGTATTTTAAGTAGAGATGAGGTTTTACCATGTTAATCAGGATGGTCTCAAACTTCTGACCTGAGAATCTGCCCACCTCAGCAGGCCTCCCAAAGTGCTGGGATTACAGGTGTGAGCCACCACACCAGGCCAAAACAGCTTTCTAAGTGTATAACCCAATCTCTGCAAATAAAAGGGAAACTTTATTTCCCTTTTTTCCAATATGCTTTAATTTATTTATATATGTATGTATTTATTTTGAGACATTCTCACTCTGTTGCCAGGCTGGAGTGCAATGGCCCAATCTTGGCTCACTGTAACCTTCACCTCCTGGGCTCAAGCTATTCTCATGTCTCAGCCTACTGAGTAGCTGACTTTACAAGCATGCACTGACATACCTCACTAATTTTTGTATTTTTAGTAGAGACAGGTTTTCACCATATTGACCAGGCTGGTCTCTTAACTCCTGGCCTCAAGTGATCTGCCTACCTTGACCTACCAAAGTGCCAGGACTATAAGAGTGAGCTACCACGCCCAGCCATTTTTCATTTTTTTAAATATGTATGATAGATAATCATTACAAATATTGTTACCGGTGTCAGACTGTCCCATGTGTACATGCTAGCCCCACCACATGCAAGGTGTAACTTTGATCAAGTAATTGGACCTTGCAAAGCCTGTTTCTTTGTCAGAAAAATGAGAAAAAATAAAAACATTACATTAAATAAGATAATTTCCATTAATTTCTGACAGCATCTGACACATGGTAAGCATCAGTAGGTATCAGGTACCAGCACATTCATTGTATATTGGACATCTGACAAAGTCTATATTATTTCAAATGGAAATAAAAAGGTATAATGAGAAATAAATGAATTAAATGGCTTATTATTGACAATTATATGATTTATGTATTATACATTTAAGAGAACTACAAATTTATTTGAATTACCACAGACTAAGAAAGTGGTCAGCTGGAAGAGGAAAAAGAAGATGGCATGGTAGGAGCAAATCAGGATTGCAGCTCTCAGTGAAGATGCAGAGGGTGAGTGCAATCCGCATTTCCAGATGGATTTTTGTTGCCCACAGAACGGAAAAATTCCCAGGTGTAGGAGAGACATGGGACACCAGCACAGCTGTTTTGGCTCACGCGGCTGTTCGGCTGGCACCACAGCGCAGCGGCATTCCATACAAAACGCACTGGTCTCAGTGGCCTGTTAAACCGGCAATCTGAGATTTGGGAAGGCAGATTAGCATATCCATCTGATTAAATGAGACTTGGACAGTGAGCTAGAACAGGAGATTCCTGGGAAGCGACGTTTAAGCTAGTGCAGTGGGTCACTGCATAGGAAATCACACAGATCCTGGTGCCCTATAAGCAGGCAACTAGAACACCTGGGAGAGAGTCAACCATTCAATTTTAAAAAAAAAAGGACTCTGAGGTAGGGAGCCAGGTGTTCAGGCTTGGTGGGTCCCACCCCCACAGGGACAAAGAAAATGGCAATTCAAAACGCTCAGGGTTGAGAGTTTCACTGTGGGCACAGCTGAACCCAGGACGGTGCAGCTCAATGGGGGAAGGATGTCCACCATTACTGAGGCATTCTGCCCCTACTGAGCAACACTCCCATTGCTGATGCAGCCTGCCATTGCCGAGGCAACCCACCATAACAGAGAGACTCCGCCAACAGGGCAAAGCCCATGGCAGCAGGGCGAGACCCACAGCCACAGGGCAGACCCTACGGCAGTATGGCAGAGCCTCGGCAGGCAAATAGTGATTAGACTTCCTCCTAGCTGGGCAGGACAGCGCAATAGATACTCATAAAAAAGTCCCTAACTCCCCGAGACAGAGCATCTGAGGAAGAAAAGGGGTTTTATGAGTTCTGCTGCAGCAGACTTAAACATACTGGCCTAACAGCCCTGAATGATCAACAGAGTTCACAGCTTAGCACTTGAGCTTCTATAAAGTACAGACCGCCACCTCAAGCAGCTCCCTGACCCCTGTATATTGAAAGAGTCACCTCAGAAAGGACTGATCAGACTGACATTTGACAGGCATCATTCTGGGACAAAGATAGCAGAAGAAGAAACTGGTAGCATCCCTCACTGTTCTGCAGCTGCTACAGGTGCAACCCAGACAAGCAAGGCCTGGAGTGGACCTCAGTAGTTTTACAGCAGAGAGGCTAGACTGGTAGAAGGAAAACCAAGTAACAGAAATACTTCATCATCAACAACCTGGGCATCCACTCAGAGACCCAATCGAAAAGTCAGCAACTACTCAGACGACAAGTGGATAAACCCACAAAGATGTGAAGAAACCAGCACAAGAAGGAGGAAAACACCCAAAACCAAAACACCTCGCCTCCTACAAAGGACCAAAACTCCTCACCAGCAAGGGAACAAAGCTGGATGAAGAATGAGTGTGACGAAATGGCAAAATCAGACTTCAGAAGGTGGAAACTGAGAAACTTCCGTGAGCTAAAATAACATGTTATAAATCAATGCAAAGAAACTAAGAACTTTGAAAAATGATTTGAAAAAATATTCGAGGAAATAATAACAAGAATAAACAACTTAGAGAGGAATATGAATGAATTGAAGGAGCTGAAAAACACAACAGAGAACTTTGCGAAGCATGCACAAGTTACAAAAGCCGAATTGACCAAGCAGAGGAAAGAATATCAGAAGTCAAAGATCAACTCAATGAAATAAAATGAGAAACCAAGATTAGAGAAAAAAGTGCAAAAAGGAATGAACAAAGTCTCCAAGAAATGTGGGACTATGTGAGGAGACCTAACCTATGTTTGATAGGTGTGCCTGAATGTGATGAAGAGAATGAATCCAAGCTGGAAAATACTCTTCAGGATATTATCCAGGAAAATTTCCCCAACCTAGCAAGGCAGGCCAATATTCAAGTCCAGGAAATACAGAGAACACCTCAAAGATATGACACAAGAAGAGCAACCCAAGGTACATAATTGTCAGATTCATCACAGTTGAAATGAAGGAGAAAATACAAAGGGCAGCCAGAAAGAAAGGTTGGGTCACCCACAAAGGAAAGCCCATCAGACTCACAGCAGATCTCTCAGCAGAAACTCTACAAGCCAGAAGAGAGTGGGGGCCAATATTCAACATCCTTAAAGAAAAGAACTTTCAACCCAGAATTTCATATCCAGCCAAACTGAGCTTCATAAGTGAAGGAAAAATGAAATCCTTTGCAAACAAGCAAGTACTCAGAGAATTTGTCACCACCAGGACTGCTTTACAAGAGCTCCTGAAAGAGGCACTACACATAGAAAGAAATAACCAGTACCAGCCATTTCAAAAACATACCAAATGCTAAAGAGCATCAACAAAATGAAGAATCCGCATCAACTAATGGGCAAAACAGCCAGCTAGCATCAAAATGGCAGTATCAAATTCACACATAACAATATTAACCGTAAATGTAAATGGTCTAAATGCACCAATCAAAAGACACAGACTGGCAAATTGGATAAAAAACCAAAACCCATCGGTGGGCTGTATCCAGGAAACCCATCTCACATGCAAGGATACACAAAGGCTCAAAATAAAGGGATGGAGGAAGATTTACCAAGCAAATGGAGAGCAAAAAAAAAAAGCAGGAGTCGCAATTATCGTCTCTGATAAAATAGACTTTAAAGCAACAAAGATCAAAAGAGACAAAGAAGGTCATTACATAATGGTAAAAGGATCAATACAACAAGAAGAGCTAATGATCCTAAATATATATGGACCCAATACAGGAGCACCCAGATATATAAGGAAAGTTCTTAATGACTTACAAAGAGACT